CCTGTGCAACAAGAGTTGTAGCTTTTTGGTCTGAGAAGGTCAGTGAAATGCCCTCAGGATTTATTCTGAGATCCTGTACCTCAGATTGATTGATTTTAAAAGGCAGAGGGGTATACCTTGCTGGAGTCAGTTCATAGAGAACTTTTTGTTGGCAGTGAGGGCCCCTTCCAAGCACACAAGTAGGTGTGCCTGGGTGTGCTAGACTCTGAACTTGCAAGGTGCTTCTGCAGGGACTTCTCTGTGTGTCAGGGAACAGCCATTAAATCCTCCTTGTCTCTGTCTCCACTTGTGAAGGGAAGTTGGGCTGGGAGGCAAGCATGAAAAGTCAAACTGTGAAGCATTTTTTTTTAATCTAGAAAGGAAATATTTAAGTAATTCTTTGCCACTTCCCTGGGTTTGAAGGAAGCAGTGTAGGATCTGGTGTGTCTTTCTATGTGTGCATGTTGTGTGTGTGTGTGTGTGTGTGTGTGTGTGTGTGTGTGTGTAGAGCAGTTTAGGTAAGAAGTCAGGGAAGGGTACTGGAAGCTGAGGTTAGAGAATTCACTTTGATTAGGATTAAACATAACCCCCTGGGAAGCTCTAATTCTCCTTGGTTCTTGATAAACCAGTTATCAAAGTAGGAGAAAGAAGAGACTAACTGGCTAAAGAGCTTAAATCTAGGAGGGCAGGGGGAGGGGCAGGGCAGAGGCAGGGAAAGGGGAAATTAGGCCAGAAAGTTGCAAAGGTCATTGGTGCAGCCTTGCAGCAGCCTCCTCCATCCACCCTCACCTGGGTCCTGGGGGCAGAGGGGGAGGACACTTACCAGACAGTTCAGTTTCAAAACAGCAACCTAGCAACTACCTTCTGCCTGTGCTGTTAGTAGTTCAGGGAATGATTTGAGGATGGACCTTGGTCAAGGCTACTCAACTAGCTAAGAGTCTGCCTTTCAGTCTGTATTCCAGAAGTCTGGGTGACCAGGAGTTACTTGTGGGTTGTTCTTGGACAGTTGTGCTTCCTGCTTATTATCCTTTTAACCTTGCCATGCAGGAAAGGGAACATGCCAAGTTCAATTTCAGTCTTGACATTTCTTTGAATCTTCCTTATTGTTTCAGAGTACTCTTTAATAACTGGAGGAAATGACAGGTGTGTGCCCAAAACCTGCAAGTGTCTCACACATGGCCACTTCCAGGAGAGCAGATGATGTCTGTCCTGACAGGGGACTCTTGCTTGGTTTCTGCTCTGAAGGTGAGTCAGCCCAGCCGCAGACCCAAAACTCTGACATTGGCTGGGCATTTCCTGTGTTTCTGTAACTCACAGACGCAAACTGTACATCTTGCACGGGTGCCAGGCTGTAATTTACATGGGGTTCCCCTTTCCTGTCCCTGGCTGTGTCAGTTCCCTGCTCCCTTTCTTTGATAACTTGAGTCTGGCTCCCAGCTTCCACCAACTGGCTGTCCCAGGCTGGTAGAGAGGCCAGCAGCACCATCCCCTGAGGTGCCGGCAGTGTGAGTGGTGTGAGGCCAAGTGGGGGTTCATGGGGTAGAAGGCCAAAGCATTCACGGTCAGCACGAACTCAGGAATTCCTGAGCACAGTGCCTCTGCATTGGATGAGAACCCTGGGGTGTGGGGGTTGGATAAGGTTTGGGAACTGAATGGTACATTGGGTGACATCACTTTTAGAGAAGTGAAGCCCTGTGTTGCGTCATGCAGGTCAGTCACAGCTGCAGCAACCAACCATCCTATATTCTTTGGGGTTGAGGGGTTTTCTGTGATACAGGATTAATGTTGTGAAAATAGAGATAGCTCTAAGCAGAATGGCATAGTTAGTGCCCTGCATGTATTAGTCCATTTTGTGACCTGTAGCACAGTGCCACAGTCTGGGTATGTTATAAAGATAAGGGGTTTATTTTGGCTTATGGGTCTAGAGGTACAAGAACAAGGGGCCACATCTAGTGATGGCCTTGTGGCAGAGTCCTGATACAGGCATGGGGCATCACATGGTGAGACAAGAGAACATGTGTGTGTCTCTTCTGTTCTACTATAAATCCACTGGATTCCATCATGGGGACTCTATCTAACCCTAATTGCCTGACTTTTCTAATCCTAATTATCTCCCACAGGCCTCACCTCTAGCTACAATACTTATATTAAGTTATAGCCTTAACACAGGGGGCTTAAATGCCAGCACATTCAAGCCATATGCAAGCCACAGACATGCCCCTGCTTCTGTGCCTTTCTTGCCTTTTTTGGGGATGCTGAAGGGACTGCTTTTAAATCTTTCCCCCTAAATCTCTGTCTTGTACATCAAAAGACCCACATCCATCTACAGAGAGAAAGGACTCAAAGGGACAATATATGGTCTGAATCCCAAAGTACCAAAGAGGAAGAGCTGGCCCTACCCTGGCCTTGAATTGGGAAGATGCAGGGAGGGGAGTCTCTCAGATGGTTCGGTGTTTGGAGCCTCATTTATTCATATTATTATTTTGTTACCAGGTACTTGCTGTCCACAGAAAGTCCGAGCCACCCTTGGAATTTCCGAGGGCTTGAGAGGAGAGACCATTGTTGGACACAGGATGAAACTATTTGTATTACTTACTCCCCATTGTAGAATTATTTCTCAGTTCTTTTTTTTTTTTAATGTAGTTGGTTGTTATAGGCTCTTACTTTGCAGCTCAGACTCGTAATGATCCTCCTGTTTTCAGCTTCATTTCTCAGTTCTTGAGTTACTTTCCTCTCACATATTTTGGCTTTATAGTGAAGGCATCTTATTGCTTGGATGTTGATGGATTTTTTTGCAGGGGAGGGTGTCCCAGTGCTCAGACTATTACTGATCTCCAGCCCTGAGTGGATGATTTAAAAATTTAGAGTTTGAATAGTTGTTTGTCTGTGTGGGTACCCTGCTGTGGTCTCTAACTTGAAACACTGAAGGCTTCTTTACACTCTGTTATACTCTTTCAAAGTGATTGCCCTTCCCAGGATCTTTCTGTCTAGTAGTGCCATCTTCATTAGAATGTCTCTGGGCTTGAAATATTGCATCAACCTCTTGGCAAGGTCTTCCCAGACTGCCCTTCCCCATCAGCTCTCCCCAGTGTCCTATCTTACTGATCAGTAGAGGTCAGTACTTGAGTTTCTGTTAATAGAATTATTAATTTGGATTTGTCCTGTCTTGCATGCCCTGTAGAGGCTAAAGTTCATGAAGGCTGGACTTCGTTTTGCTTTTCAATGTGTTCCCAGTGCCTACTATAATCCTCAGCACGTCGTAGGTCCTTAGTAGGTAACCATGAGCCTCTGTGTAGACTGTGATGCTGGCAATGGTGAGGGTGAGGAGGTAAATGCTCATATACTTTCAGGCTTTTGATTTGTTGTGGGGGACAGTGTTTTGCTATTAGCATTTACCTCTAATTTACCCCAAACACCAGTCATAAATAAATCTTCCCAAATTTTCATTTTTTGAATTATTATCTGCCTACCTAAAGCTTGAGATGATTTCTGATTGGCCGTGGGATGAAGTCTTAGGTTTCTCTTATAAGAACCCTTTGCGCCATAGAGAGCTTTCTTCTCAGACCAAGAAACACCTTATTCTCATTGCTTTGGAGAGAGGGACTCCGTAATGCTCCCTGCACGCTTCTGCTTCCCTCCTGCCCGGAATACTGTCCTCTCTTCCTCCTGTCTCCCTTCCTTGCTTGAGACCAAGTTCGAGCTTACATGCTCCAGGAAGCTGCCACTGCCTGTGGCAGCACACCTAGATCCCTCCTTTCTGTGAACTTTGTTGCCCGAGTGGTTCCTGCTGCACAGGTTGGCACTGGACTGTACCCCGATTTACACAGCCAAGTCATTGTTTCTTTTGGGCTTGCTTCATCTATGTCAGACCTTGAATTTTACTGTTTTTCATTGTGCCAACATTTAATAGGGGTCCAATCAGTATGAGTTACATTGATTTGAAAGTCCTGCTGGCACACGGATTGAAAAATGCTCAGTTAAGACCCTCCTGGGAGGTTATTTTAGGCATAGTACCCTGTCCTTGGCTCAGAGCCTGGGGGCTAATATTGCCCAACCCCTGGCAACTTGGCTTAATTTTTCTCAACTCTGCCCTCCTCACCTTTCACTTCCACTTCCAACTTTATCTGGCACGGCAGTTATCAGCCTGTTCTGGGACAACTGTGCAGCATATGCCTGGGACAAATCACTGGGCAGCAGACTCTTCAGAGACATTAGCTTTTGGCCCTCATGGCTTCTGGCCAAGCAGAGCCCCCAGCTGCTTGGGTAGGCTGGCTGTATTGGAGCATGTGCACTGCCACACTGATGTGGTTAGAACACTAACCTGATGCCTACAGGCTTTCTGAATGCAGCAGTATGCGTTTGTCTCAAGTAAGGAACTTCTTTAAGCTTGAGTGCTAGTTGGACCTAAGATTACAGCATGGTTCTTGAGTAAACAGACTTGAGTTTATTCAAGTCCTGACTTCACTAGAGTGTGAACTTCACCTCCTGGCTTCTGTCTCCTCATCAATAAATGGTAACAATGCCTATTAAATGGGATCTGGTGAACACAGAATGAGTTAGAACCCTATTATATATCTGGCACAAGCAAAGCAATCAATATATGCTGGGCATTATTAATCACTTATCTTTGCTTCCTGCTACATGTACATGATTCCCATAACTCGTTGCACCATCCCAGGACATGTCCACTTCCTAGGTGACACTGAGGCACATCCAGGAAGGCCCAGGAGCATTTGAAGAAGGGGTCCAAGTACCTGACCCTTTGTTAAGTATATGAAAAGGAGCATAGTGCTCTGGGCCTGTCTTCTATTATAGTTAAATGGAGGGCAAAGACATGTTATAGAATATTAGAATTAGGAAAAGCACAGCACTGTGGGTAGGCTAGAGTGATAAATGTATTGATTCAGCTTGGGGAAACAAGGCGGCCAAGCAAGGCCTGAGAGTGAGTGACTCCTGAGCAGCTTAGGATGTTCGGGGTTAGACAGCACTTACTGAGTGACGTGGAAGGGGGTGGTGCTCAGGCTGGAGAATGCTGTATCTGAGGAGGGAGGAGGCACACAAGAGCTTCGCTCAGCCAAGAGAAGCAAGATGGGTGCTGTAGCATCAAGAACAAGATTTTATGAAATCCAGAAAATGACTCAGATAAGGAACAATTTAGTACATGATTATTGATGTAGGTCGTGCTTAGAAGTGTTGCCTCGCCTTTTTTCTAGGAACACATGCTCCCGAGCATCTGTGATGCCACAATCCCTTTGGTTTCCTCCCAGCCTACATCCAGGACCTTTTCCTTCCATCCACCTCTTCAGCGTTTCTCAGGACTTGGACCTGGAGCCTCTCCTCTCCTTCCTTGGGGCCCATGGAGTGATTCAGTTACCTGCAGGGCTTGTCTTTCTGCCTCTCCATAGACGGATGCAAATCTGAGTTCTAGACCTGTACCGCTCTCTCTCCTACTGACATTTTGACTCGAATGTCTTATGGGTATAAGATTTACCAGGGATAAACCAAATTTCCTACTTGTGCCCCATGTACTTGTACTACCAGCTCTCCTAGTCTAAGCATCCCTAATGCCTAGCAGCTAGGTCTGAAGCTTGAGGCCTGTTTGTCCCTTCTCTCTCTATTTGCTCCCATATGTGAATAACCACCAAGACTTGTCATTCTCCCTCTTAAGTAGCTGTGAGTTGTACCTGCTTTAGCTCCCCTCTGCCACCTCCAAGTTTGAACCCCATAATCTCCTGGACTTTCAGCATGGCCTCTCGGCTTCTCTCTCTATCAGGATCACTGGACTCTACTCCCCTCCTAGCCAGTGTAATCTTATAAAATAGTGACTGAATGTGCCTCTTGTTTCTTTCAGTCCCTCAGTAGATCCCTGGTTGCCCTTTGGATAATGCCAAGGTTCCTTGCATGCCTGATATGGCCACCCATAACCTCGTCCTTGTCTGTTTTTCCATCTTCACTACCTACCCTTCAGTCCTTAGCCTCTGTATGGCATCTGTGCTCTTCAGTTCCTTCACAACTTCAGATTCCTCCATTTGGAGCACTTTCCCTGTCTTCCTTCATCAGGAGAACTCTGGCTCATCTTCCAAGTGTCAATGTCCTCTTGCTTGCTCAATGAGACCCTCCCTCCACATAACGGGGCTGGCTCTCATGGGAACACATCCCAGACACCTCACTTTCTCTTTGAAGTTTGTTGTCTGTCTTCATTACAGAGCTGTAAGATCCATAGGGGCAGGGGCTGTCTTACTTGT